ACGCAAATCTTGGACCATATGCCACATGATGACGCACAATAATCATCGACAGGAATTAAAAATGTCAATTCTGTCATCATTTTCTCACCCTCAAGTTGTTCCAAACCTGTATGAATGTCTTTCTTCTGATGAACACACACACACAAAAAATATATTTTGAAGAATGTTGGTAACCAAACAGTTGCTGGTAGCCACTGACTTCCATAGTTTTTATTTTATTTATTTATTCATTTTTCTATATTATGGAAGTCAATGGAGACCAGAAACTGTGTGGTCTTCAAAATATCTTCTTTTGTGTTCAACAGAAGACGAAAAAACGAATGTAGGTTTAAAACACCATTAGGGTAAATAAATGACAGAATTTTCATTTTTGGGTGAACTATCCCTTTAAGAATAATTTTAGTGCTCGGGATTAATACACTTGTGCTCTGTTCATATGCAATGGTGGACAAGATGCCAGGTTGAGACACATTGCAAGAACAATGACTTTGTTGTGCAAACCTGCTGTTTAGATAGATACAGTAGTAGCACGTACATGTTGAGAGTTTAGTTTTCACTAGATTGCCATTCAATGTTTCTCCTCCATGTGAATTTAAACACTTGTTATTGCACATCTGTAATGATGAAGTTGCATTTAGTACATTTAAAATATAGTACCTTTATATGTACTATCAAATAACACACTACAGTTGAAATTTTAAACAAATACTATATAGTATGCTTTAGTATGTTAGTCATCACATCAAAACAAGTATACGTCTTTAAAGCATGGCAAAAGATTATTAAAACATGACTTAATAAAAGGTTTAGTTTAAAGTAAAGTCATCAATTTGACATTATTACAAAGTGCACTTTTTAAAAAGTGTACTTAAGTGTGTTAAGAGACAGTCATGAAAGTTAACTCTTTAAGTACACTTAAGTGGCCTTTAATTCAATTAATATCACATTTTCTGCAAGTACAGTTTTTTTTTTTTTTTTTTTTATATACATTCAAGTTTTGAAGTATACTACAAGTGCTCATTCATTAGGCATACAGCTGCACACTTCTTTTTCACACAGGCATCTTAGACTTTCTGAAGTTTGTTTGATGGAAGAAAGAAAGTCATGTAGATTTGACACGTAGGCTTTCAGGGAGTTGAGTAATAATAAAGTGTCCAATTGCATACTTCGGTAAACAAAAAAAGAAGGAACATATTCAGGAAAACAGGAAAAAACATAGTGAGACAAAAGTGAGGATCTAACTGGATCCAAACTAGAAACAGCTGCAGAAATGAGCATTTAACGAGCCAGAGAATATATGAAATTTGCCTCAGTGGGAGTGAAATGATATTTCATGCAGGCTTACACATGCATGATTTGGCAACTGGTCAAATCACAAATTGTTACAAGTTAGCTTGATATAATTTCTAAGTTATTAATATCATACAGAGGCATAACGCTAAACAGCTTCTGTGTCCGTTTCTCAGAATCATTCATTTGATGCCACAAGATAGCGCCAGTGAGTCCTACATAAACATGACTGAGTGGAATCAAGACTTCATCTTTCCACAGTATAGTTTAATTGTACAGTATAACTAATATTAATGTAATATATGCAATCTAATGTGACTTTTATTCAATCTCCAGGTCATAGTCATCAGATTTTGCAAACGAATGACCTCTATAGCTACATAATCAATTTTCCTGTAGATCTCCAATACAAATACACCATGAGGAGAGAGTAAATGATAAAATCAGGACCCAGACAGCATTCACCGTCGTCCATAGCAGACAGTAGATGTGACGTGAAAACATATGGGCCAAATTTTCACCATGTATGTTTATAACTGGAGGGAATTATGGAAATGTTTTTGTGGTTAACATTTGGAAAAACAGACGTCTCGTGCTAAAATCGAGCAAATAATCATTACATTTACCAATACGATATTGATTTGATGTTCAAAATACCCATAAAATAGCTGCCTTTACTAGGTGTCTGCTGGATGTTTTTAATATATGACTGTTCTGAAGTTCCTTTTTGTTGTGGCTTAGAACATTTAAATCAAATGAACTTTCAGTTACTATCTGAAACTGTACTTAGCTTTCACTGGAGCTAATATCCCCTTCAAAAGCAGCACCAGTGTCCCGCTCACTACAGTAGATCATTCTAACACTGTAATTACCCTGCTACAGGAAGACATGCTTGCAGTGCCTGATGGGATATTTAATCATCCTGAAGAGGAAGAGTAGTACATTGCCCACATGCTCGTGGCATTTCCAGACCCACCCAAGCAATATAAAATATGAAGGTCAGAGCTGTGTCGTTGGTTTTTAGCAGCTGGACTCCATCTGTTGATGTAAATGAACCATAAAATAGCGGACTCTATGTTGTCAGCAAGGTCACTGAGCAAAAATCTTGATGGCACAAGTTCACTATTAAACGCAAACTATATATATAAACTATAGATACTATTAAACAGTTTATTCACACTATCTCAAAAGGTTGGGCTCGGTAAGATTGTTTAATGTTCTTGAAAGAAATCTCTTCTGCTCAACAAGGCTGCATTTATTTGATCAAAAATACAGTAAAAACAGTGCAGTAATATTGTGAAATAATATCACAATTTAAAAGAACTATTTTCTGTTTTAATATGTTGTCTATATTTAATATATTGTAATAATATATTGGTATTGTTGTTGCTGCCGCCACCATGTCGTGGAGACGCTGTGTGTTTCGTTGCTAAAACAAAACTACTTTGTTTGGTCTTCCAAAAGAGGACACGACTACAAATCAGTGGTTAAGTCGTATTTACAACACTGTTCCAGAACAGTTCAACCCAAATATTCAGATGTGTGCAGCACATTTTATGGAGGACTGTTTCCTGATCCTGGTAGAGTACACTAATGCATCTGTGCACAAAGGTTTTTGAACCTTAAACCGCATAAACACATTTCATTACACCAAATACACAAAATAATGTTCTTTTTAGCAACGTCATATGACCCCTTTAATGATAAAAGCCGCTGTCAATGGGGACCAGCAACTGAAGGTGAACTTTCGTTTTAAGGTCAATTCTTGAGGTATGAAAGAGGAAACTCAGTAAACCTTGACTTATTGCACTGTATACTTGTTTAAACATTCTTGATTTTCTTGATGAGAGTGTCACGGTGTGGCAGGCCGTGTTCAGGATGTCTATGAGTGTCAGAGGGGGTGTCAGTGAGCAAACAAACAGCAGGGTCACAAGGAAGTGCTGTTCCTTTAACAACTCACCACAGCACATAATTTGACTCACTTCCCTCACTGCCCCACCCCAGAGCTCCTGTGCTGAAGTTTGACACAGACCCCTCCACTGTTACGTGTGTTAGGACAGGAGAATCTGTTCTCATTCCCACAGTCTGCTGGACTTTGACTGCTGATTTTCTGTCCATATCAACACCTAGTAGAGAAGATCACTTCAGGTACGAAACTCTTCCGCTTTAGACTTCTCTTGCGTAATGGCTCTGCAAGCTTGTGTGCAGCTCATAAGTCTGAAACTGTTTCTGAGGTTTTGTTTTCTTGAAATTCTTTAAATACTTTCCACCTCATCAACTTTTTGATTTTGTTCAACATACTAAATTCTTGGCATTCATAGGGAAGCAACAAATTCAGTTCTTCCCTTTCTCAGTTACTACTACTACTAACTTTTCTGATCTGGAATCAGGAATATTACTTGTCTAGTCTTGCTTTGTAGTGGAATAACTGGACTCTTTCTGTCCAAAAATCATTCAGTCTTTGGAACGTTTTGACCAAGATTTTCAGAAACAAATCCTTTGAACTGAGTGTCATCTATCACTTCGTCTGGGGAAACAATAATTTGCTGCAAAATTTCTTTCCTAAACAACAACATTTCTTATATAATTCAATTTAGGTTTTAAATTTGTTACAAATAGTAGGTCACGTCCAACCCTTAGTCTTACTTTAAAGTTAACAATAGAGGTCCCAGAAAGGGTATTTTCATAGTGATATCATAGGTGAACTATATTGGGTTCTACACCTTTAAAATAAAAATAAAAGCTTTAAAATAGCTTTTTTTAAAGAACATTTTAATGATTTAAAGACCATTTCTACTATAAAGCACCTTTTGTGGAAATGTAAAAGTTCCATGGATGTTAAAAGAACCATTGATGCCAATAAAGAGCCTTTATTTTTAAGTGTGTAGTTGAGTTTTTGTAAAATGTTGCTATTTTTTTTCATAGTGTTTGTGGAAGGAAGTGTGTTTAGACTGTATCTTGTTTCATGTCTGTGCTAAATTTTGCGAGCTTGAAGACATATGGTATAGTGTTATAGTCCATGTGGAAATGAGACTAATGCAGCATGGTGGATTTGCAGTCATGAATAAAGCTCAAGAATTCGGACATCACAGGAAGTTCAGATTCAGCTGAGACCACTGCCTAAAACAGTTTAGCAGTATCATCATAATACTGTCTAACTTCCTTGAGTCTGGCTGTGAACCTATCTATCAAACTTTTCATGACCTTCTGTGGCAACGTCAGAGAAGCATGTGTTTGCACTGGAAGGGAAATGGCCATAACAGAGCAGAACAGGCTTATAGTACAGAACATTATCAACATTTGTGGCTGTATGCTGAGTCATGACATTTCCTCACAACCTTGGCAACCCAACATGTTTGGAGTCAGGGGCCGGAATTAGTGTTTAGACTGGAGACAGCAGAACTATGCAGGAATGTCTTGATTACAACCAACCATCCCTTTTATGGACAAAACCAATGAGACATTTCCTAGCAATTACAGCAGATCAGACAGCATGATTCACTGTCAAAAGTATAGGCATACATTAAAATTTACAATCAAGAACCCACACTGGGTCAATTATTATTTTTGTTTTGTTTTTGTGTGTCTCAGTCTCAGTGCAGATTCTGGACAAAACAAAACTGATTCCTGTTTTGTTATGTTATATGTTATATGTTATGTTATGTTATGTTATGGTTTGTTTTGTTTGGTTTTAATGTTTTGTGTCTCCGTCTCGTTGCAGATTCTGGACAACAAAACAACTGATTCCTGTTTTTTGTTTTGTTTTGTCATTGCAGAGTCTGGACACAACAAAACAACTGATTTGTGTTTTGTTTTGTGTCTTAAGCTGTGTCCGAAATCACTCACTCGTTCACTCATTCACTAATCCCTATATAGTCTATGGCAGTTAAGTGCACTATATATCAGAAAGGATTGAACAAAATGAAGTGAGCGAATTCAGACGCTGACGTAGGCCTATACTCCACGTCAAAGAGCTGGAACTGTTGCAGAAACATCTCCGTCACATATGTAGTTTATAGTTTAGTTTAGTTTAGTTTTTTTGTTGTGCCACAGTGTGGGTTCTGAATTGTAACATTCTCATCATGCTTTTAAGGTCAGATTAAATTAATTCCGGCTGACCGGAGATCCATTGCAATGTTAGTCTAGTGAAGCGGGAGGCATATTTAGAAAAGAAAACATAAACTTGCCAAGCTCAAGTTCAAGTTGTACTCTGGAATCACAACAAGTATGTGCTTTTGAAAGTCCAAATGCACGTTTATATCAGAAACGTCTCGTTTCAGATTTCAGACATGCATGCTTTAATAATTTCAATGCCTTTTTTGGCATTGCATTTCTCTTGTGGTATGTCATCACTTTTATGTAAAGTTTTTGTGTTTACTTAACTACTCATAACTACAGTATAATTACATACATATATAGTATTTACAGAACTTCAGGACTTCATTGACTTTTATTGTTTCCGACAATCTTATCCTACACCTATTCTTACTTAACCTTTACACACATTTTCTGGATTTGAATTAATTATTGTGTGTACCATTAGGATGTCCCCAAAAAGTAGGTGATTTCAGGCCAGGTCTGTGTGTGTGTGTGTGTGTGTGTGTGTGTGTTTGTGTGTGTGTGTGTTACAGGATGCCTCTTGGGGGTGGAAACAAATGTGGCTGCTGCCAGAAAACAGTGTACTTTGCAGAGGAAGTGCAATGTGAAGGGCGGAGCTTCCACAGATCCTGCTTCCTGTGCAGTAAGTCCTGTTCATTTTCCTGTGTCCAGTGCCATGGCATTGGCCATGAGTCCACTGTATCAGTAGGTCAGTTGGTTTGACAAAGTTTACCAAGGGCAGACTCTTTCTGACGGATAAGGATTAACCACTTAAGCTCAGGGCGTTTTTTGGTATTTTCGCCTAAATTTAACATACTCAAACTCAAATGTTTACCCTACACACATACAATGGAGGAAATGAAAAAAAATGGTTTCATTGTAAAGAAAACCCTTTGAACTACAAAATATGAGTGTAATTCTTTATAAATAACATTATATACTTTTCAAATATTACTATAAACACAAAAAAAACATAGGCGCTTTTGGAGTTTTAAAAGTAAGTATTTTTTTTTAAATCTGTAATTCAGGTTCTATTAGGCACAACTCTCTGCAATTTACTTTGTTTGATGTCACTAGATGCCAAAAAGTGCCGCTGACTGAAGCAGTGCTACGAGTATAAATGTAAATTCGCTCAGAGGTGACCAAATTTTACATCGCGGTTCTATCGAAGATAATTCGATCTGTGATTGTCACACAATGAAATAATCTACATCGTCAAATTCCTGAGAATGAGAGCTTTCTTGTGATATATGACTTGACTTTTTTGTGAAAAATATATAAAATACACATTCTTCGTAAAAATTATTCGCAATGGTTAGGCGGAAATTCGTGTGTGGGACGAATACATTTCTAAGCTTAATTTTACTGCTTTATGAATATAAAAACCAAAAGGAATGGTATTCTTTGTAAAGAAGACACTCCAAGCTTTCAAATGAACCCATATATGGGCTGATACCATATAAGGAAGGCTATGTAAATGAAGCATAAACATTTTTAACGTCATTTTGGACCCGTATCCGGGTCCGCAGAGTTTAACTGGTTTTAATATATAATTTAATATATCATATATTATTCATCTTTTGTACAACTGCAGGCACAATGCTGATTTTCCTGAAATTGAAAATGTGTTCCAGAATGCTTTTAAAGCTGTATTGAAAGAGTAAGCAGTCAGATTTTGATAGTTTCATAGTTTAATATATATATTACACATTTAAACGGTCGTTGCTTATGAAAATGTACATACTTTTGAGTGTGAAAATAATGTTATAAAACTGCATCTTGATACCACAGACCCTCTTGTCGCATATGTTTACAAGTGCATTAGCAACTACATAATTTTTTACCTTACAATTCATTATTACTTACCTTTTTCTTACATTTAATAAGTAGGGCATCTGCTATAATTTAGGAGAAACTAATTCTAATTATGGATAATGTTATGAACTGGGTCACAGTCATAGTTCATGTGGTAACATTAGTTTTTTCCAACAGATCAGTCAAGATTGTTCTCTGGTGCTCTCTTCTGGTTGTCTCTATAATTCACTTATGAAATATAATATTACCCTGCTTTGATGACATTTTTTTTGGAGGGCTTTTGAGGGCCCAAAGGGCTCTGCGTTCCAGACAGACTGTCTTCAAAAAAAAAATAATAATAATAATTTTTATGAATAAAAATGTAATAAAAAATTAAACACAGAACCCTGCTGACGTGTTCCTCTGGACAGACAAGATTTTATGATCACAAACTTCACAAAACTAGCACATATAGCAAACTGTACAATCTTTTTCTAATATTAAACTATGAAAAATATACTTTCACATCTAAATAATGTCTTTCAAACAACAATATATTATGATATCATCCACTCGCCACACTTTCAGATATCTATATTGGCTAAAGCAACAGGTTTGCTTTGGTAACAGGTTACTGTCATTATTATGTTTTCGAAAACTTGAAGCTGAAGGTCACTGCAGAACACGTTTATCTATGTATTTTGTTATATTCACTCATCCTTCTCATTTCAGTGGTGTGCAGGAAATGTCTAGACAGCACTACTGTAGCCGTCCATGAGAATGAGATCTACTGCAAGGCCTGTTATGGCAAAAAGTATGGGCCCAAAGGCTACGGCTATGGCGCTGGCGCAGGAACTCTGAGCATGGATAAAGGAGAGTCACTGGGAATTAAACCTGCAGAGTAAGAATACACTTAATTTTGATTCTTAAATATTACTTCATATGTGTTCTTTTAGCATCTAGTCTCACAAAATTAGACTTCTGACTGTTGGCATAATGTCTACTTCATAGCCTATTCTGGCCAAGATGGGCACACTTAGGTGGAAAGGGACCATTTGACCAACATGTCATCAAATAGTTTATCATGTTTTACACATTTACAGCACAGTCTCCAAGCTGTTCTTTTACATGATATGAAAATGAATGGTGACTGTCTGTAAAGCAAAATTTTCTCTGAATAATTACTTAAATTTCGCTCTATTCCTCATACAAAGCTATCATATACTGCAAATTTGGAATATAGCTCACAAGATGCCTTTTTGGAGCTTGACAGCTCTTGGTCTCCATCCACTTTGACTGAATGGAAAAGAGCAGCGTGAACATTCTTCAAAATTACTTATTTTGTGTTCCACAGGAGAAAGACAGTCTTGGAACAGGTTTTATTGATCGCAGTATATAACTTTGGGGGGAACTATTCATTTTAAAGGGGTCATATGATGCGATTTCAAGTTTTATGTTTACGCGGCGCGTTATGCAACGCAACGCGTAAAAAGACAGTATAAGTCATTATAAAGCACTACTGTAGCCGTCCATGAGAATGAGATCTACTGCAAGGCCTGTTATGGCAAAAAGTATGGGCCCAAAGGCTACGGCTATGGCGCTGGCGCAGGAACTCTGAGCATGGATAAAGGAGAGTCACTGGGAATTAAACCTGCAGAGTAAGAATACACTTAATTTTGATTCTTAAATATTACTTCATATGTGTTCTTTTAGCATCTAGTCTCACAAAATTAGACTTCTGACTGTTGGCATAATGTCTACTTCATAGCCTATTCTGGCCAAGATGGGCACACTTAGGTGGAAAGGGACCATTTGACCAACATGTCATCAAATAGTTTATCATGTTTTACACATTTACAGCACAGTCTCCAAGCTGTTCTTTTACATGATATGAAAATGAATGGTGACTGTCTGTAAAGCAAAATTTTCTCTGAATAATTACTTAAATTTCGCTCTATTCCTCATACAAAGCTATCATATACTGCAAATTTGGAATATAGCTCACAAGATGCCTTTTTGGAGCTTGACAGCTCTTGGTCTCCATCCACTTTGACTGAATGGAAAAGAGCAGCGTGAACATTCTTCAAAATTACTTATTTTGTGTTCCACAGGAGAAAGACAGTCTTGGAACAGGTTTTATTGATCGCAGTATATAACTTTGGGGGGAACTATTCATTTTAAAGGGGTCATATGATGCGATTTCAAGTTTTATGTTTACGCGGCGCGTTATGCAACGCAACGCGTAAAAAGACAGTATAAGTCATTATAATCAGTAATTATGTCCCCACTGGATGCAACAAATGCATCATTTATAATGGGTTTTATTGCTTTTGTCTCGTCGCTCCGGCTGGGACACGGCATCACAGTATGGTAAGGGGTGTAACATTTCCGTCACACACTTGAGGTATTCGGCCAATCACAACACACTGGATAGCTGGCCAATCAGAGCACACCTCGCTTTTCAGAACGTTGAGCTTTGTAAAAATCGACTTCAGAAAGGCGGGGCATAGAGGAGAAACAATAATGTACAGTATGTGGAAAATAATGTGTTTTTTGAACCTTAAACCGCATAAACACATTGAATTACACCAAATACACAAAATAATGTTCTTTTTAGCAGCATCATATGACCCATTTAAGTTTTGGTGACATGAATCATTTACATTTACATTTATTCATTTGACAGACGCTTTTATCCAAAGTGACTTACAGTTGAGGAACACAACAAGCGATGCATCATAAGATGGCAATAAACACGAGAAGTGCCTGTTATACAAGGTTTCAGTCATCATTCAAAATAGTAAAAAGCTAGTACAAGAGGATAATTAGAGAACAGAAAAAGTGAAGGCATATAATTTTTTTTTAATAATAATTGAACCTAGCAAAATGTTGCCAATCTGGTGACTGTTCAGCATCTGACTCTTGTGTGTCTTCTGATTGCAGGCCTCAGGAACACCAGCCAACCAATAACCCCAACGCATCCAAGTTTGCTCAAAAGTTTGGCGGCTCTGATAATTGTCCTCGGTGTAGCAAGGCCGTCTACGCAGCTGAAAAAGTCATAGGGGCAGGAAATGTAAGCCAAAAGCAGAAACGACAGGAGGAAATGCTGTCATGACACACCAAAATTAACTAAGCCTGGTCTTCATTGAGCGACTGTGGTCTTCTTTTCTGCAGGCATGGCACAGGGGTTGTTTCCGATGTGCAAAGTGCGGCAAGGGGCTGGAATCTACAACTTTAGCCGACAAGGATGGTGAAATCTACTGCAAAGGCAGAGTATCCAATGTTATCCTGTCTCTTTTTAGTGATTCATGCCAAGCAACCACCTAGAAAACACCCAGAACCACATAATGAACTAAAAACACTCAGAACATGTTAGCAACGATACAGCAGCTTGAGCTGGGTTGACAATATTGATTAATTGATTTGAATCAATCTTCATTTTCATGAACAAATATCTATTCCTAAATCCCAAGATCGTTTGCGGGTGAGTCTATGCTGTCGATGTTTCTGCTTATGCATTAACAAAACTTCACTAAACAGCACTTGTAGTGTGACTCTCATCCAATAATCGCAATAAGTTACTCAATAATTACAAAGTCTGTGCTTTATAATTCTGTCATTTTTATCACAAACGGTTACATCTTGTAATGGTTTTAATGGTTATAATTGGTATTGTTGTATTGGCTTGTATTGGTTTTAATGGAAACTGAAATTGTCCCTGTGGTTCTCTACTTGTAATTTGTTGCCTTCTATTGGTAGCATGTTAGAACCACTCAATCCTAATGGAATATGGCCCAAAACACTCTACTGGACAGGATTACTAGGTCTGTGTAACAAAACCAGCCCAAAGGTCAATCAAAAATAGCCCCCAAAAAGCCCAACAACCCTATCCAAATATCAAAACTCAACATATGCCACTCCCATACCTAAAATACATATTTGACAGTCACTTTTATGCGTTATACACAATTTCACTTTGAAAACCAGTAACATTAATCATAAACAGTCTGTTTTCATAAAGCTCCGCCCCCCTTCACAAAACTCATAATCTAGCTGTTTTATCATTAGAATGTAAAATATGTCAATACACGCATTACAGTCAATTACAATTTATGCAATATGTCAAATCTTTACACCGCTGAAAAAAAAATCAACCCACGGAAACAGGTTACAAGTAGCCCAATTCTGTGAGAAAACCGTGAACTTGGCAACCCTGCTACTGTTAGGTAATGTTTTAATGGTTAACAGTTGATGGTTTGTAATGTTTCCACAACAAATACCATTACAAACCATTAGAACTTCTATGATGGTTTCTATTTTTGTTAGACCACAGAAAGGCGTGAATAAAACAGCTTGTAAATTAACCATATGGCCTGTAATGTTATATATATTTACCTCAGGAAAGCCATCCAATAACCATAACTCAACAACTAACTCTAGAGAGGAGCATTTTGCTAAATATATGCACTATGTTACATCTTCAATGTATTTTTGCTTTGAAAAACCAGCATTTAAATGTTTATATTTCAACAATGAATTGGAGTCCTCTAGAAAAATTGGCATGTACTCTATCTGATATATATCCAAAACAAATTGAATCAACTCATTGAATCAAATCAAGAGCTTGTGAATCAGAACTGAACCGATTTGTGAAATCTGTGTCAGTAGGCCTACTGTGTCATTCCTAACAGCAACACCCTGGAAACCACCCAAAATCACTGTGGCGAGATTTGCAACAACACCAATCACATTTTCTTCATAATTTGTAAAAGTCCTTGCCATTGTCCTGGCGCCATATTAACTTCATTTTGTGCTCTACACAGGTTGCTATGCCAAAAACTTTGGACCAAAGGGCTTTGGATACGGTCAAGGTGCTGGAGCGCTGTCACACACTCAATAGATCAGCGTGACACCAATCGTAAGCATCTGTTGAAGCACGAGTGCATGAGTGAGTGCATGTCAGTGTCTTGAAAATGGAAACCGGTGTCAGTCAAGAAGGAAACCAGAGTCCAGGTGCTTCTGTCTAAATCTTAAAGAAGACACGTTCCACATTTCAACACATTCCACAAGACATCATGTCATTGTCTTAAACCCATAAACATGTCTTCTTAACTCTTGAACATTGCCAAATGCTTGGAAGAACGTCAAGTATGTAAACAAAACATGGGATTAGACTTAATCTGCTCACCTATGATGATCACTTGGGTTTGTCAAGATTTAGTGGAACCTGAGCTGTGCTGTCAGTATTCCTCTGCTTAGATGTACTGTCTGTTCTCTAATGGATCTGCATGAGTTTACTAGTTTACCACATGATTGTTTGAGCTTTAATCACAGTAAAGAACGTTTTCTTCAGCTCTATTCAAAGCATGAATGCGTCACAAGTACTCCCTGGCTTAAGATGCACTAAATTTATTTCACTATCAATGGAAAAATATCCCACATATGCATTCTGCAAGAACTTTAAGATGTTATAGAAGTAAACGTACAAATATGCACAGTTTTGGTGTCTTTTTTTTTAGTTGTGTCCATTAAACTGAATAGCTGGTGAATGTAAATGTTTGTAAGATATATTTTATGTCAAATGAATGTGCCTTGCAAGTAAGCAGCGTTAGTTTCAGTGTATATTTCTAGTAGATGGAATATGGTGTCACACATTCAAAACAAAACAAATGTTCACTGGTTTTTAAGCTTTTTTTTTATTTTTGGATGATGTACACTACCGTTAAAAAGTTTGGGGTCTGTAAGCGTCTCATCTGCTCACCAAGGCTGCATTTGTTTAATCAAAAATACAGTAAAAACAGTAATACTGTGTAATAGTATTACAAATTAAAATAACTGTTTTGTATTTGAATATATGTTAAAATGTAATTTATTCCTGTGATCAAAGCTGGATTTTCAGCATCATAACTCCAGTCTTCAGTGTCACATGATCCTTCAGAAATCATTCTGATATTCTAAGAAACATTTCTCATCAGTGTTTAAAATAGTTGTGCTGCTTTTATTTCTGTGGAAATTGTGGTACTTTTTCAGTAGTCTTTGATTAGCATCCTAAATAGATGTATTCATTTCTTTTTAAAAATATCTTCCCGACCTCGAACTTTTGAACCATAGTGTACATTGTATCACTTATCTAAATGTCATATTAACTATTGTTTCATATACGCCATTTATACATACCATTTATGAGGCATTGTTTTGATTAAAATTTTCTGTATTAACTTGACCAAACAATCAAGTGGTCATATGAATTATTCATATAAAACTCTCATTGTCTACTGATTCGACATGCGCCAATGTTCTCTGCATTTGTTGCATGTGAAAGGTTATTTGTAAAGTGAGTAGCACGTAACCACATTCCTTTCGCATTATCTCAATGACGTGTGCTAAGTTCATAACGTAATCATTTTACAATTTTAGAAATGTACTATGAGTCACTCTCTTATTGAGTTTCATTGTGACTGAAAGATGAACTATCTGACACTTACAGTCAGGTCGCTTCCTCTTGGGAAGTACCCGATGATCCTTTAAAAGGTCATAAACATTTCATTGGTTAAAAACATTGAGCTCTGCTGATTGTGTACAGAACATCACCCTGACTACTGCTGTATTTCTAGATACAATGCACCGTATAAGTTATAGTGAAAATCAAAAAGATGCTTTGAGATGTCCATGCATGACATCACATTTTAATAGTTATGCTTATTATATTTGTCAACCAAAAAAGGAGTTTTAGGTTATTTTATGATATTTCGAACATTTATTGCATTATTTTAGTGTCGTGTGTTATCCTGAAGGTGTTGTGTTGTGTAGGTTACACTCAGCTCTGTGTATTTACAAGCATTGCTCCTGGATATGCCAATTTCAATGAACATCATGTGGCCTGTTTTGCCACATTTATTATTTTTTCATTATATTTGTTTTTATTTCATTCAGGATCCGTATATATTAAAGGAATAGTGCACTCAAAAATGAAAATGTACTGAAATTGTACTCAAGCCATCCATTCTATTTCTTCATGGGAACTGATTTGGAGTAATGTAGCACTGTAGCACTGCAATGTAGCACTAATGGATGCTCTGCAGTGAATGGGTGCCGTCAGAATGAGAGTCCAAACATCTGATAAAAACATCACAATAATTCACCAGTAATCCACACCATTCCAGTCCATCAGTTAATGTCTTGTGAAGTGAAAAGCTGCGTGTTTGTAGTAAACAAGTCTGTCATTAAAGTGTTTTACCTTTAAACCATTGCTTCTGATCTGTGCATATTTCTCTTCCAATTCAGACGAGATGGTTTTCCACTACAGAAAGCAACAGAGGGCTTGTATTTTAGCCAAAAGCAACTGTTTGAGGTTATAAACATCCTAATGATGAAGTTATTTCTTACAAACACGCTGCTTTTCACTTCACAAGACATTAACTGATGGACGGGAGTGGTGTGGATTACTTGTGCATTATTGTGATGTTTTTATCAGCTGTTTGGACTCTCATTCTGACGGCACCCATTCACTGCAGAGGATCCATTGCTGAGCAAGTGGAATTCTGAATTTCTCCAAATCTGTTCCCATGAAGAAACAAACTCATCTACATCTTGGATGTCCTGAGGATGAGTACATTTTCAGCAAATGTTCATTTTTGAGTGAACTATTCCAACCAGAATTAAGTTAAATAGTTTTTTCTTTTTTTTTTTAAAATGAGCTTCTCGCATCACTGCAGTACACCGGCTTGGTTAAACTTTTCACCTGAAACAGAAAAGTGAAATTAATGACTGAGATATGATCAATCTGTCAAACATTACAAACAAAATTCACAGTGTTGTGTGGGAGTAATATTGTTCATGTTACAAGCTGTCTGCATGTAATGGCTGTTGAACTGAGGGATGGAAAAGAGCCCCTGCCGAATCTAGCATTAACATGAACCACCTACACACATTCCATCTGTGAAAGAAAGACAGGCAACTATTTTGAAATGATACAGGCATTAATATAGGTTTCATTCATAGCGTTAAAATCTTGCTGTAGCGTGCATTATTTGTAGCAAGTGGATGAATGTTCATCATAAATCTTTAATAATACAAGGTACATCTTTCCAGTGATTATGTCAGACCAGTGACATTGGTTCCAATACGTGCAGATGACCTAAATGTTCTTATTTAATGTGTGGCATGTGTGAAACAACACAGCATGGACCCTTCGAATTAGGTTTCAAATGCTAAGAAGAGGTAAAGATTGTCCTCTAGTGGACAGAATGCAAAATAGAATAATGTCTCAGCTATGAAAAGAGCACCTATTTCCCATGACCAACAGTGACTTTCGAAGATGTTCATCATTCCATTTTAGTTGTATCAGTGAAGAAGACAACACTATCGGACGAGTTTCGCTTCCTGAGACACAAGATAAAGAGCTTTCAGTCCACCAATGTTTTGAACCGAATAACAAGACTCATCAGGTTTTTTCAGTAAATTCATGATTTGATCATATTTGATCAGTCATTCAACAACTAAACACCAAATAATGAATAAAGCGACAACATGTCATATATATATAAAAAAATTATTTTTTTTTTTTTTCCTTTTTCTTTTTAGGTTTTATCTTAACTATGCACTATTTGCTGTTGTGCATAGTATGTATGATACGTACACTCTAAAAAATGCTGGGTTGCATTTATTTTATTCATTGGTTTATTTGAATAATGATAGTACAAAAAACATCATTCTAGCAAAAAGCTGAAAAATACACTCTAAAAAATGCTGGGTTGTTTCAACACAACATTGGGTCAAATATGGACTAACCCAACTTTTGGGTTAAAAATGTAATTTTACAATTTAACCAAAAAGTTGGGTTAGTCCATATTTGACCTAAAGTTGGGTTGAAACAACCCAGCATTTTTTAGAGTGTAGCCTATATGATTATTTATAGACCTTATGCGCCAGAGAAGCACGCAGCCATCTTTAGAATTTTATCTTTGAACTTCAGGTTTGGATGGAGCTCTATAGCATCGCTGTTGAAGAGTGCACTCTAAAAAATGCTGGGTTAAATACAACCCAATGGCTGGGTTTGTCCCGATTTTACCCAGCACTGGGTTGTATTTAACCCAGCATTTTTTAGAGTGTAATTATAGCTGGTGAAGTGGATTTACTTTACATATTGTAGTGGAAACTAAAGTTATAATGAGCATTGTAATGTTGCAGGCAGATGTCAAAACAACACTCTAAAAAATGCTGGATTGTTTCAACCAAACGTCGGGTCAAATATGGACTAACCCAACTTTTGGG